GCATGCAGCCTGCAGATACACTCGCAATTTTTGATCGCAACTAGCCCGCCTCGCGAACTCGGGTGTCCTTCCTCGCGTCGTTGCATCCGCTTGGTCCCGGCGCAGCGTATTTTTCGGTAGATAAGACGGATTGGCTGGGAATGGGTTCAGGTTGGACGGATTTCAGGATGCAGATCCTTTGATGACGATAGGAGTTACTTAGGGGATGATAGGATTTGACTAGAGATTTGATGCTTTGAATAGTGGGATTGATAATTTACTGTTGGGGATGGTAGGTGATTAGATTTGTATAAATGGGAGCCTTCGTTGCTGAAGATGTATGAGTAAAGATTGAGAGATAGATATCTTTTTGGAAAAACAAATATCCTAACGACCTAATTCCTAATCTGTAAAATGAAGACGGGATGCAGATCCTTTGATGATGATAGGAGTTATTTAGGGGATGATAGGATTCAACTTGAGAATTGATACTTTGGATAATGGATTGATAATTCACTGTTGGGGATGTTAGGTGATTAGATTTGTATGAATGGGAGCCTTCGTTGCTGATGTATGAGTAAAGATTGAGAGATAAAGATGTCTTTTTGGAAAACCAAATACCCTAACAACCTAATTCCTAACCTGTAAAACGAATAGTTCGAGACTTCAAGAGAGTTCCCAAGCGAATAACAACCACTGTTCCTGAGAATTCAGATTCGTCAGACATATTCCTCGAAGATCAAGTTGAATATTCTCGAAGCGACCTTTCGAGGCTACTAAAAATATCCGAAACATCGCGAAATAAGGAAGCTCCTAAGTCGGAAGAGCGAACGGTCCGTTAAATTGTCAAGTGTACAATTAGCCGGCTGAAACGCTCGAAGAAACAGGTGGAGTTTATTTACGCTTAATCCGTCGGGCACACCTCGGTTGGACCGCCGCGGGGATGCTAACTTTCGAAACGATTATAGCGGGCTGATGTTCGTCACGTGAGGAGCAGTTTTACCACCGAATCACGCCGGTAATGCACACGGCCGGCGTATCAGAGCACACCATCCCGAGTAAATATCGCGTTCGCCGCACTAATGACTGTTCTAAGTTTGCTGGAGACGAGGACGCCGGTTCCCCCGGGGACAACGAACCTTCCCCGGCTATATCCACGCGACATTTCACCGCCTAAGTGGGCTACGAAATTCCGGATTGCCGCGGCAAAAAGTTCCCCGCGTTTCCAGCGGGCCGCGCGGCGAACTGTTCCCAATTCCGACGGGGCTACGATCGAACGAAACTCTCCTCGCCCGAAGACTTCCGGCCCCCCCCGCGGGGCTCCTTTAATTTCACGCGGAATTTATTTCGTTTTTGCCTCAGGAACATATCTTCTTATCTCGCTGGACATTGCTAACGATAATCGCTTCGTAAAGTTTCTTTCGGTCGGTCAAGGAAATCCCACGAATTCGGAAAGTAGGGTGCCATTAGAGGATTTTTTTTACATCTACGGAGAATCGGATCTTGTTCAATGGGTTCTGGAAAACGGGCCATGAGAGTCTTTAATGAAATCTGTAGAAACGGACAGTAGATTAAGAAATTTCGGTGAATTAGGAATAGGGGATGTTCTAATAAAATTGGTGGAAAAGTACTCGATCTGATAGAGAGTACATCGAAAGGAAGGGAAGACTCTCGAGAAATCAGAGAGTCAGATGCTTCCTCGACCCTGCCATCGCCGACTAATTAAAGTCGAAACGGAAGGAAGCATCGCGAGGAACGCGAGATCCTCGCCATCGAATCGAAGCGACTCTACAGTCTCCTCTAGCACCCCTAATTCATCAAGCACGGAACGGAAAAGCAAACACCGCGAACTGGGCAAACAAACCTTGCTCTAGACTCGATGAAGTCATCAACGAAAAGGACGAGGAGCACGGAAAGAAAGGAAACGTCGGCAATCTCAACGAGATATCGTCCGAAAGAACAAGTGGAGTCTAAATACACAAAGGACAAGGGAAATTCACGTGGAAGCACGTGACGAGGCGTCATTCCGCTGGAGCTTTCCCTTTTTTCCCACTCGTAAGCTCAGTGGCTGTTAACTTAAATCAGTTCAACCGAAAAAACTGTGCACAGTTGACCTAATCTAAATAACGTAGCACAGATAAACCTATCAGCGTTTGGACTGAGGGGAAGTCGTTAAATTTTCAATGAGTCTCCCGACCAAAAGGCGTCGAGTCACTCGAGGAAGATGATCTTTTACATACGTGTTCGAACAGTCAACGTCCCCTTGCATAATTAGAGCCGACGTCGATGCATCGCGGGAGCGGAAGGCTGCATTGCCGAAAATCAGCTGACTCGCCAGCCGGGGACGATCGGGACATGACAAGCACGCGGAACAATCGCGGACAGGTTCGCGTGCGCGCCGCCAATATATACACGGTGACGTGTTTATACGTGCACCGGTATTTACACGCCGCCGCACCGCTGCACCGGTCCAAGTGCAACGTTACTGATCGCGTTGCATCGCGCCCCTCGAATATTGCCGGCCGCCACCGCCGACGCCGACACCCGAGCGTAATAAGCGCAACCCCCTTTCGCTAATCCTCTTCCGACGCTCGCTTTTTTCAATCCCCGCCATCAGCAGCCACCCGCGACTTCCTGCCGCTCCGCCAATTATCATTTTTTCCCACTTTCTGGCCCTTCCGCTCGATCCACGAATATTTCAGCTGTCCGCTTCGGAAAATCCGATAGATTGAGAATGTGGGTATATGTTTCGTATAGCGTAAGAGGTTTGTCAATGTTGAATAAATTAATAGAAATACTGGTTTCAATTTGGATTTTTTAGTTGATTGTATCACGTTGCTTTCCAATTGTCATAGGGAATTTTAAGAGTTCGATTTGTAAGCTTTCTCGTTGGTTTCTTTAATCTCTCTTTGTCACAATTTTGTAACTTTAAAAAAGTAGTCCTCCTTCATCGATTCTCTTTCTCGTTTAACAACCTACAGATCGCAGCTATTGCTGCATCGCCAATGAAAAAGGAATCCCGATGAAACTCTCGAAATCCTCGAACAAACTGCTACGGGACACAATATTCCAATCACGTACCGAACAAAATGCCTGCTTCCGAATCGACGCTCAGCACCTCGTTCGATCGACGATCCAATTAGCCCCCCATCAGCGATCGGTGACCAGGTTTCGCGCGATTACGTAATTTTCTGATTGGCCGCGTCTGACGGACGAGCCGTTCGACACGCCGGATACACGGATTTCCCGACCGCGAATTTCACGACGAATTTCACCGCGCGCCGCGGCCCGGCCGTCGAGAAACGCGGCGAGGGCCGCGTGATTTAACCGGTGAATCAGCCGGCGAAAGAGAGCTTCCGCGAAAACCCGAGGCGAGATCCGCTCCTCGCGGCAAAACACCGGTGTTTACGTCGATCCCGGATGCGTGTGCCGCAATAATCGGCCGGCGGAAAAAAGTTCCGCGGGCGGAGCGCGCGGGCCGCACGTGCGCCACTTCCGACCCTTGCACTCTCTCTCTCTCCGCCGACCCGACAACAAATAAAACAATCGCGCGGAGGAAACAACAGAACAAATATTGCTGGAAGCGGGAACATTCCGGCGCGAGGCGTTCCGTGGGAAAATAGTTTAGGGGTGGTTGCGTCAGCATCCGAGAGTCTACAAAGAGAGGGAGAGAGAGATAGATTCGAAGCGATATTCGAAAATAGAGGAAAGTTCGAATCTTCTCGGACAGAAGTTGTAAAGTTTCGAAACCTGCGAGCTAAGCGAATTGGCGAATCCTCCGCGAAGTCTGCACGAAATCAGTTAGGAGACCTATGATCGATGTTCTCTGAATCCGCCGAAAAATCTAAAGTTCCCCGATGGAAGAGTTTTCCCAAATGATCCGGAACAGTTCCTCGGAATCTAAGGCCCACCTACGGTCGCCGGAAGTTTAGCCGAGGATCTCTCACCGGTAACAATCATGCGCTCCCGAATGGTCTGAATCACAGCCGACAACGGTGCCGAATCTTAAAAACAAAGATCCGAGCACGCAGTCCCCGAAACTACCCCCGAGAAGCGTCGCGAGCCCGTCGAGTACCAGGCGTCACACGCGGAAGCGTCAAAGAAGCGTGGCACGCGGGAGCGGCGGGAGCCGTGCGCTGGCACACCGAAAACACCATACTCTCCGGTTCTCTCTCGCGATCTCTCCCCTTTCTCCCCGGCTTGCAAGCGGTTAAAAGCGGTTAAGCTCAGCCAAGAAGCGTGTGTATAATTAGTGGTCACTGTTGCAAATGAAAATCGAACCACCTGTCCTACGGAAGGGGCCTGCAGGTAAGTAGAGACATCCGGTTCCACCATGCAGCTCCTCAGTGTGTCCGGGATGAACATGAGTAGCTGGGACGTCGGCTGTGGTACAGGCTGAAGCCGGCTTGCACCGCGCTGACGGTCCTCCAGCGAGCGTATGCTCGCCGACAGCGTCGTCCTGACGTCGTTCGGGACGTCCCCGTTCACCGGTGAAACGACCGTCGCAGCTGGCAGCTCGGCCGCCGATGATGATCCTTAACGAGTACTATCTCTTCGGACCAGCTTCTCGCCGCGATTAATCCTCTGAAACGGCTTCGTCGTCACTCGGACCGGGTTCTAAACGGTGCACCGGGTGCTGGACCAGCTAGCCAAAGTGTCCCTGGACAGTTCGAGTCCCTCGGAGTCCTCCGTGCAACTGGTCCAGGCTTTTAATACCGGACGCGAACGTCTCTCCCTTCGTTTCTGCCTGACCGACTGCCTCTTCCACGTTGTCGCCGACGTCTGACGGTCGTCCGACTGCGATTGGTGGCCGCGTGCCGATCTGCTCGACGTCGAACGGTCGCCGCGAGCCGTCTTCCTCCGTTGATCCCGCGCGATCACGCACCTGTCGGCGTTCCTCGATACGCAGCTAACCCGTGCGTCCGTTTCCGCGCTTGCTACGCTGACGGTGTTGATGTTGTCGACGTTGTTGCTGTTCCTAGTGCTGGCACTCTCGTCGTTGCTGAACCGTCGGCTGTCGGGTGGTGGTGGAACACCGCACCCAGGCACACGCATCCTATCTAACCACGAGCCACAACTCCTAACTCTCGACTTTAGGCCCTCTCTGATGCTCTCTCTCTATCTCTCGTGGCACGCAAGACGGCTCGTTCGCTCGTACACCCTCCCGCTCCCTCTCTCTCTCTCACTCTCTTTCTCTCTCTCTCTCTTTCTCTCC